GAACATATCAATTCTTTATTCTGCGCCTTGTAGATTCCGAGCAAGGAAATATAAATTCATTCTAATGAAAGTTGCCAAGGGATAATATGAGGATACACAACCTCATCAGTTGAGTTGCTGGAGAAGCAACTTCCCATTGAAGACACCACGAGTTATCTCCCCTAAAACGACCAAATGGTCGGAGTTCGGTCGTATCGTGGTTTTCATGGTTTGGGTACACTTTTGATATGAATTCCTTGCCTATTCGTTGTGTAAGTTTACTTGATTCTGTTAAGTATGTTTATACATGAGGTCACGACGTGTGGTCTTATGTAAAGTCAGCTGTAGAGCTGCTGTAGAAAACCTGCTCTTCATCTGCATTATGTGCGTCATCAATGGACTACTTGAAGCAGCCCTATAATCTCCATTTCAAATCTCTCGGACCATAAACAGGAACAAATAACTCGATATTTCGTGATAACAATTTTATTGGCTGAAGACATTTTTACATGAGACAATTTCTTCTCAGAAGTCAGCATATCACAGAAGTTGACAAAGACGAGAAACTCGAGAGAAAGGCAAGTGGTGATTTTAAGACCTCTTGCTTTACTCATGTTAACATTTACCAACCAGGGTGTGTGGACAATTCTGACAACACTCTATTCATCCAATCAATTCAGCAGCCTTTTTATTGACAAAGTGGAAGACCTTCGCCCTTACTAACTTGCACTACCCTTAGAAGTAAGAATGGTGCTGTGTACTTACTGTTTGCGGACTATTTCATTAATGAAATAGGGGTCAAAGGGAAAGCTGAATCAGAAAAACACAATGAAATACTTTTAGCATAGAAGATAGATTTGTGCGGTAGATTCCTAAACTGCAGGGACACTATGGTATAAGGGAATACACTAATTCAAAAAGAACATTTGTTCGAACGAGGAAGAAACGGGTAGACTAGCTTCCTCACGTTACCAATAGCAAATAAGAACTTATTTATAAACATAAAGGTCATTCTAATTGCACATTCAGAAAATGTGGAAAGGTAAAAATTAAAACTTCTTAGATTCTGGAAAATAATGTAAAACAATTCTGACGAGGCCAATCAAGGTGGCAGGTGCCCTCTTCCTACGGTGCCTGATAAAGACATTGCATGTCTCAAGTTGATTTTGGTAAGGACATATTCTCAGGACTAATTACATTTAGTGCTATGATTTGCAACTGTTTGTGCATGCATAAGAGAAAAGCAGTAAAAAGTAGGAATACCTGTATTTTATATTCCTTGACAGTGCACTTATTATATGGATTATTTCAAGTCATCCCAAAATGTAACCCAACAAAACCACCATCTGTCTCTATAGTCACCTAGTTAACTATGTAACAAGGCTGTTGAATTTAAAAAAGATATCTTGAAAATCAAACAACAAACTGTTGAATAATTCATGAAAAGCACTGATACATTCACTGATCATCAGATGTTCTAAACCAATTTCATGCAAACTTCTTTCTAAAACATTCACTATTATAGGTCAGTGGTAAAGTAGCTGGATACCTATTTGCAAAGAGTCTTGAACCACATAATCCCATACAATCTTAAAACCACAAGCCACATATTCTAACGTCATACTGACAAAAATAGAAGATTGAAAAACTCTTTAAAACAACTCCACTGAAATGAAGAGACTTTATGAACAAGAATCACTTCTATTTGCTTGATAAGATAATTCAAAGATGTGAGGTTGAAACTGTGAAATACAATGAAAACTATACACAAAAGCATTGATGAACATTGAGATAATATCTTCAATCTCCTTCTAAGGGAAGGGAGCAAAAATTATGATAAATGAAATAAAAAATTATGTTATGACAAATAATGTAGGGAAGGGAATTTCTATGAAACAAAATATGATATGACTGAATTTTTATTCAGATGAAAGAAAAACATTTGGAATATACAAAGAATGAGTTTTGGAACAAAAATAGCTTCAACCAAGTTGGATGTGTTGGTTACGTTGAAATAACTTAATCATAGGATATTATCAATGAATTTTCGACAACAAAAAACAAGCTTGTCATGTACATAAAATTACTGTGCCCCAACTGTGCAACATTTTTAAAGAGTACTTGAAAGTTAATTACACTTGAAAAACATTCATAATTTTATTTAACCATTAGTATGCCTTCAGATTTTAATGCAAGGTACTTGATTTAATGAAACTGGTAATAGGCAGCCTATGTAGACAAAACCCTCCTACCTAGAAAAAAATGGACTTGTTTGAAAACGCTGTCAGTCTGGATATTTGAATGTTGTCAAATATTGTACATCTGACTACACATAGAATTATGTCCAAAATGTCTTAGCAAATCTGATATCCTAAAATAAAACATTAATTTTTATTGATCACATCTAACACCTAAGCTGAACAACTCAGGTGCCACAGTCACCCGCATATTGACTCAATACAGAATTACACCTGACCCTACAACTTATTATATGCCTACCCATGTATCAATTCATTTCACAATTCTGTATCACTTTTCAAAATGTAATATTTACGCAGTTTTTCAATATCCTTGTGTAACAAGTCAAAACAACCACTGACAGGCGCGTAGCAAGCCATTCGTTTGGTGTAAGCCCGATCGGTTGTAAAACTTTATATTTAGAGAGCAATGAGGGCTGGCCCAGCTTTCATAGCTTGGCCTAAGCATATTTTTTCCCCCGAGGGAAGAAATTGCCCAGGCTAAATATTGCCCATGCAAGAACTGGTTGGGGGAAGGTTATATAATAAATAATAGTAATGAGGTGAGGTGAAATTGGGTTTTACGTCGTGCTTGAGAATATTTCGCTCATATGACGACATGCATGCATGTGTATGTGTAGGTGTGGCTGCTTGTGCTAGCCCAAACTTAAGCTGGTTTTATAGTGCTAGCCCACTGAGATACCATGCCGCAGTGAAGCATGAATACCCCACTGGACACATTATACTGACTCGAGCCAACCAGTCCTTGTTGTACCCATTAATAATAGTAATGAGAGTACTCATATTACGCTTACATCCACACACAAGGTGCATGCTTATACATTCATATGACCATCCCATCATATCCGGTACACACTCACTGCTGGGTGAACAGTTCCCTCGGATTATATCATATATCAACTTATCTCATGTCTCATGTTCTGTATGGAATCTTGGCTATGAATAGCAACAAATCTGATTCTTATTCACCAAGCCAATCTTTACCATGTGTAGAGTCAGGTGGTGGGGGGTAGGGGCTAGGGCTAGGGCTAGGGCTAGGGCTAGGGGTAGGGGTAGGGGTAGGGGTAGGGGTGTATACATAGAGGGGCACGGATGGCATATTTGAATTAAAGTAATTCAATGTTTTACTCAATTAAACTTTTGAACTGGTCATCAATGCAAAAACAGCGCAAATTAATAACCGTGAGCCAGTTAATATGAAATGTTTTGAAATATGAGGTAGGCATATAATTGACACCCTTATTACAATGGGAGAAGGGTGGAATCTAAACTTGATAAAACTGCTAAAATTCCTCGTAAATGTCAACCAAGCTGCTGAACAAGACATTTCAGCTAACATACACAGTATGATTATTGACCGCTTCATTTGAATAATTGATATACAGATTTATATATCTACTCACTGATTGGACAGACGGAACTGAAATCATTCCAGACTATTACAAGTATTGATCACAATGGATTAGCACTTAATTAGACACACTATGTACATATCAGTAGAATAATATACAGTCTACACAATAGTGAACCACAATCATTCATTGACAACAGCTCAGACTCCAATCTGGACACTTGTAATGTGTAGCCATACAACCATCGTGGGGAATACTGTATCACTTCAGAGAACATGGCAAAAAAACATTTCATAAGATTTGCATAATGTATCAAATTGTCATGGTATTTATTCAAATTAAACATAGTTTTCTTGCAGAATGTTCTACATTAACATGAATTTATGTTGATTTTTAATCCAGAAAAATTACAATTTCAAAACCTCTTCACATCAAATTTGAATCGGAGTTCGATATTTATTTGAGCATACCTGAATGACAATTATTCTTGTCTGGACTGTAATTTTTAGAAACATGTTTGAATATCATGCACACTTACACAAAGTGATTAAGGAAACTGTGTAGATACGTCACAATATTTCAAGTCTGTTCCTTCACTCAACACACTGCCCCTTACAACAACAGCATCCACAACAAGCACTTCCTAAAACATCTCAATATCCGCAGTAACATGATGACAATGATCAAGTATATAGATGGCATAAGTGTGCTGGGGAAACCCAGGCCTCCCAGCAAGACGAGGCTGAACACCCCAAGCGGACAGTCTTCCCCTCGACGTTATCAACACATACACATACAATATATAGACAACACACCAAGCTGATGCCCACAAATCAGTTCTGAACACTTTATAGGTAGGAAATATTAACAAAATTGCCACGGGGCTAGACGTGTAACAAGCCAGCTGAAAACGTATCGAACAATACCTCACTGCAGTTAAATTTACGTACAACCAAGTAATTAAGTTTCAAAACTACAAAACAGCTCAAAGTTTCCTACAAAATGACCAACAACCTTGCATGGATCTCTGTGCTGGAATGACATCTAAGTTTGAGGTGCATTAGCTTGTTGAACAGCTGGCTACCTGGGCATCCTTACAACAAATCTAGAGGGGCCTACAGCAACAGGCTATGTACGACAGTGGTCTTGAGATCACAGGCTTCCAGCTCACACCAAATCTGATGAGGAAGGACATGATGCAGCATTCAGCCAGCAACGACACAGAAATGGTGAATGTACACAGTGAAGGCCACCAAATATGCAAATTGGTAAAAAAGAAAATTGTTACTTTCTGATCTTTCTCCTTCATCTATCAGCAGACAATTTTTTTAAAAGGAGTAGTTTCTAAAGCTGCATGTCAATATTAATCAAACTGTTTTAACATTTTGTGGAAAGACAACCAAAAATCAAATCAAAATACTCATTATTTATGTATTCTTAGCACCACAAAGATATGACAAGATACAATAATCAGCTGATGAAAGAGCCCCCACAACTGCTAGTTTACTGATCTGCATGGGTTGTCTCCCTTGTTTACAGTATGGCTGACTTAAGACACAACACAGAGACTTATTTGAGGGACGTCCACAGTCCATGAGGTCTCGCACAGTTCTGATGGCTGCAAAATGAATCACACAGGACATGCTATCTGACAAGACATTTCAAGACGTCTGTACACCTCTTAATTCCTGTTGTCTGAACTGGTTATAAGGGGACGTAGATTTTGTATTCCTTATGATTCAAGAAACTGTGGATAATGATTTAGATCACTTGACCAGGAGCCGTTTCATCTTTTCATATCCTTTGTCAATTGATCACCCGATGGAGTGGACAACCCAGCACCGATTCTCGTGTGATGAATGTTGCCTATGATCAGTATGAGCTGGAAGATGTCTGTGTTGTTCGACATGACTATGTATGACTACAGTGACGTAAACTTGGCACCGGACTGCTTTCAGCACTTCTGGCTAATAACTTAACAGCATTAAATGTATAACATCTCGAGTAAGCAACACTTAAAACCATCACTAGTTGCATGGCATCTGAGGCAAGAATGGATACCACTGTGTGTTTACTGGGCTGATACAGCCACACTGATACACTTTCACGCGAACCTTCAGGTGGGCTGAGCTGTTGTATTTATAAGAAATTTGGGTGTATGATCAAACTCGGGTAAAGGCCAGCCATCTCCTGATGTAGACTGGCTGATAGTAATGAAACTGAAACATGAATAAACCCTTGTACTTAACAGGACCTACAACATTTCTTCTGGCTCGACCTGTTTGGAATAATGTCAAGTCTAGGGTGGGTATTGCAATGTTCAAAAGTAGATGATGACATAAAAATGACTCATTTTATTTCCCAACTGGCCATCTACCATTTTTTCTAGACTGAAGATCGGTCTAAACTGTCGCACCTGTACCATCCACATTGCCCAGAACGCCGGCACTACATCTCACTGTCATCCCAGAGTGAGAACACACATGTAACAAACTGCTTGTTAAAGGTCAACACTATATCTACGAAAGACTAACCCGGACATAATAACCCTCCTACTAACTACACTTTCCTCACAATGTTCTGAATCACATGGATTATATACACAGAGTTGGAATGTTGTTACACACGAGAAGCAAGCATGGCTTTCTCTTTGTCGTACATTAAATAACTCAACATCATATGGACATATTCACTCCATTTAAGCTTTGTGTTCTAGAAGCAGAGGAATCACAAATTTCACAGCATAATGTCAGAACAAACAGTTCCCTGGTATTTTTTCTCTCTTTTTTAGCTTTTAAATATTCATTTGGGACGAAATGGAAACGAAACTGTAATAAATAAATAAAAGGAAATGTTGTTTTTGCACAATCGGCTAGCTATAAATACGACGCCAGTGGACACTAATGGTTACCATGCAAATACCTGAATATATCGCAATTAGGATGACTGGTATCATTCAAACAAACAACCCAAGAGCCAAAGATCAAACCAAACACAGAAACCACTCAGAGACTGGCTCACAGGAACCCCATAGTCATCTTAAGGAATCACTTTGAGGAGAACTCTGACTTTTGACCTGCCTGACCTTGACCTGTCGTCTGCTCTCCTTAGCTAAAATCCTGGTGTTCTATGAAGCTGAAAGATTAGAGCAGGATAAACTGGACACTCAAATTCTGTTCAGGTTTCGTAACTGAAATATATTCTCCTAGGTACTGCAATGTTTCTTTCAGTCTGTCTGTCATTCACGAACTCAAAGAACCAACACTGATCACACAGACACTATTGTCTTTCATACTGGATCACCTAAAAGAAACCAGAAACTTTTTGCAAAATCACATCATTCTTCCAGCACTACTCAAAACAACACCGTATACTCTGGATACACAGAGAGCATAAGAGACTCCTGGCGGCAGGCAGACAGACAGGCAGGCCAGGTTACAGGAGGATGCAACATATCACACAAGCTGTCTCCATCTTCACTCCCTGCACAACATGTCCGCTTCTGGGGACCATATTCTAACTTTTGGAGAGAGGCGGTCGAGCTCCTCGCTGTGTGAGCCCCTCAAACCTCTTGAATGTGTAGTTGATGAACACCCAGTCCTTGTATTTAGGGTCCTTCTCACTGCCCTCGGCAGTCATGTTTGTGGCTGGAAGAAAGACACTAAGTTGTATTCATTGTACAAAAATATTCCTTTAATGAAATCATCATCAATGGCTCTTCATTATTGTAACTGGAACTAGAATGAAAATTGTAATTTCTACAACACAGAGCAAAACACATAATTTTCCATCCTTTGTGAAATAGTTGTGTATCTCTCTACTGACAACATACCCAGACTGGATCACAGTAATCTTAAAAGAAAGTGAGTGAGTCAGTATGTTTTTCGCCGCTTTGAGCAATATTCCAGATACATCACAGCGGGGGACACCAGAAATGGGCTTCACACATGTGGGAAATTGAGCCCAGGCCTTCGACATGCTTTAACCACTAGGCTAACCCACCGCACCCTTAAAAGAAAGGCTAACAGAAAGAAACTAACAAATTAAATAAGTTTCTCAACAGGTCATGTGATAATCACATGCATAATGTTTGCTCCAGTGTGAATTCCTGCCAGTGCTGGCTGAGATCCTAACAAGATGAGAAACAGAGTTATGCCCCTTTGACAGTGGGTTCAAGACACTGCTAAATTTGACACTGAACTAAATTTTAGACATACAAATACTAGTATAAGTGAAAAATGCAACACTGAACATAACTACAGATGTCAGATTAGGAAAAACCCACAGGAGGTGTACCAAATACTAGTATAAGTGAATGATAATGCATGCATGTCTATGAAAGGTATATATTCAGTCTCCCTGAACATGAATAAATTACCTTCTTGTTGCTGCTGCGGAGATGTTGCTGAAAAGAGAAAAAAGTATTCTCGTAAACAATCTGTCCTCTGCAAGCAACGACTTGAACACATAGTTGTCTTCTGTACTCGGATAATGATAATCTTTATGTTAGGACAAAAATAAATCTTAAAAGGCTAGTGGACTACAGGTCTCATAAAAAATGCAAGAGATTATATTCTATAATAAATGTTGGTCAGTGACCCCTCCGACTTGGGAAATGGTTGAGGCTTTGTCTGGTCCGAAATTTCCTCTCTAAATTAGTTTTGAGAATACATGTCCCCATTTTATGCCACAATATGCCCAAAGTTGCAAGGCATGGAGAATACTGTATGAAATTGTTGATACTCAGGTTTCGCACTCATTTTAAATACAGCAGGGTGTAAAATTCTTTTCACTAACATGAACAGTGTTTAAGAACATTTGTTGCCATCAAGAAGGATTGACAGACAACCCTGTTCCTACACCCCTGGCCTCACTTCCTAAGGTGAGGTGAAATTTGGTTTAACGTCGTGCTTAAGAATATTGCGCTCATATGACGACGTGCATGCAAGTGTATGTGTATGTATGTGCGGCTGCTTGTACTAGCCCAGACTGAAGCTGGTTTTATAGTGCTAGCCCACTGAGATACCATGCCGCAGTGAAGCATGAATAGCCCACTCAGACACAGTATACTGACTCCGAGCCGACCAGTCCTTGTTGTACCCATTAATGCCGAGTGCTAGGCAGGGACCAACAAGTGCCATATTTTAACGTCTTTTGGTATGACGCGGTCGGGGACCAAACCCGTGACCTTCCGCTCTCCGGCAGAAAAGAATTCTAATGTTTTCATCAGTCAGATTGTAGAAATGACAGAACACATGTAGATAACACAGAAGAGCTTTCTCTGGAACTTACGCCATTTGAGGTCTATTTCAGGGAAATCATCAAAATTGGACGTTATCATCGATCCCCTTCACTTCTATTGGAATGGCTGCCGGACGCTCCCTGAACAAAATCAGATGTTTATAGCATGACTGGACTGTTGTTGTAAGAAGAATCCTCATTACAATAGATCAGTTATGAACCAAAATAATAGGGTTGGTTGGTAGTCTATTGGTAAAGCATCAACTCGTCACACTGAAAACACTGATTCAAATCCCCACATATATAAAGTGTGTTGAACCTATTTCTGGTATCCCTGTTTGTAATGTGGCTGTGATAAAGCTAAAAGTTGTGTAAAACTATACTGATTCACTATCAAAACAATCCAAGAAGTTTCAAAAACCCAAAGGAGAGAACATTTGTAAATCTGTCAGCTCAAGGGACATAATAACTCTACAACTGTTAATGCAAGACATATTCATAGCAATGGCTTCATTATGGCTTAAAGGCACAATGTCACACTTTTTCGACAATATTTTGGTCTATAATATATATATATATTGGGGCATATGCACTCACTTCAGCTTCCTATTAATACAATAAAAGACTTGTTATCCCTTACGACTTGACTGAAATCTATAATCGAAACTTTGAGGCGAACAGCTTCCAAACAGATAACAGATGCCATATAGGGAATGTAAACGATTGCTCCGTACATCGAAAACTGTCGCATGCGTTGTTATCGGTGTTTGCCGAACTGGCCTCAATCACAAGTTGCGTTATTGGATAATATTGTAAAGAGCATTCCAAGGGACATAACTCTATGGGGTTAAATTATATGGTAGCTTCGCTGGGGGCTGATAGTTAGTATAATGAGAGAAATGCAATATTGATTTTTAGAGAAGTGTGGCATGATAGTGTGCCTTTCAGAGATTCAGTGTAAATCATTCAACATCACAACCTTGGACTTCTATATAAGGAAACGATTTCATGAAAAACATAAATACATTAAAGGCTACAACCAACTAATCCTACAGTTTTTTGATGACGGAAAGTTGTCATTATGACATAGACCACGTAGCTATACAGATGAACTGGGTACACACCAGCCAAATGTAAAATCAAATCAATTAAGTTTTGCCAATACATAATGTTTTCCTGTATAATCAAGAACAGATTATTCATAATTTCTGAATCCTCATTGATATGAATGTCCTGGGAATATCAAACAGTCTCAGGTTATAGACATTGTATATATACTGACTGACTGACTGAGTTTAGTTTTATGCCGCTTTGTACAAGAAATGGGCTTAACACATTGTGCCCATGTGGGAATCGAACCGGTCTTCGGTCTTCGGCGTGACGAGCCAACGCTTTAACCACTAGGCTACCCCACCGCCCCTGTATATATACTACACAAAAGAAGTCAAGAACATGTGACCCACCTGATATGTTCCCAGTCTACCATCTTGAAGAATGGGTGAGTTTTGATCTCCTCTATACCGTGGGCACCGATCCGATGCTCTCCGTCACAACAGAACCTGCAGCATATCAAACAACATAACAACTAGCCAAGGATTTCTTTGGGTGGCTTCAGTTGTTGGTGATCTATAGCCTATTTTTATATTGTGTTGTCCCCTATAGTTAAAATGTTTTAGATTCAATTACTAGTTTTACATGTATATCTGTGATACTCTAGTTGCTTTACTGTCCTTTGTCGGCAGGTTTTTACACTATCTATATATATTCTATTTCAATGTCAAGTGTTCTCGTCATGATATGGCTGAAATATTGCCGATGTGATGTTAACTAATAACTCACTCACTCACTCTTTGGGTGGCATTTTAGAAGTTGTAAAGATGAAGGAAAACCAAGTTCTATGGATAGTCAACTTCTTTATTGCAATGAGTGTGACGTTTGCAACATGATCTAAATCAGAAATATGACTTGGATCTTGAAGAAGAATCAACTTGTGAGTGATTTCTTCCTATGAATAATCCCTAACCCCAACACTAAGTATTTCATTTTTAACATCAGGAATAGCAAAGACTCCATAACTTTAATCCCTAATTACTAGCACTAATCACTACTGAGAGAACATCAGAAAGGACTGACAACAGGTCTGGGTCCATAAAGATTCCCATGTACCACCTCTTGGTTTCAATAGATTTGTTCCCACATAGCAGCATTCCAACTTGTTGAAAGAAGTGCATTCTGTCTACACAGCCAGTGTTTATAACAGCTATACATTTCGCTTTTACAGAAAAAGGAATTGACAAAACAGTCTGTCGTTTCTTAGGATTTTCTACTTTGCAAACCTGCCAGAAATATGATTGTTGTTATCCAAAATAAATATTTGATGAAACTATAGTTCTTCCCAGTCAACAGTGTGAGACAGCTTCACCATGGAACTATTTACACTGGAGCCTTCCATCATTTGCAGCAGTTGTATCTGTATTTGCCAGTCTGGCAACAAATACTGTTTGTATATTTGAAGATGTCTTATGCAATATTTCATACAGAGTTTTATTCAGAAGCAACCAATACCTTAATGCTTCAAGGAACATAATTCAAAAGACCATCTGCCTGAATAATTCTTCATGCCACCTCTAACATTGAAACATTACAAGTTCCTGAAACATTTACCTCCAGCTTAAGATGTTATACAAAATGATCAAAACATCAGAAAAAGGTTAAATGCTCAATGATGCCTTCAACACAGGAGAATACACGGATCTTCTCAAGTGCCAAATATAGCCATGTATCTGCTCACAGAGCCAATGGACTTACAGCTTCACAAACCTGACTCACTTTGATCTCTGTTCATTTGAATTCTATTGATGTTGCCACCTGTAGGCTTTGTGGTGTTTGTAGCCTAAATGCTGAGGATATTCTGCATAACTTGGTTGTTTCTAAACTGTTATGATTTTCTACTATATATATCATTTCCTGAACGATCATATTGGAAAACCACACAATGCAAAATCTTATCTGGGTCATACAATCATCCAACCTAATTATTCTTATCTCCCTTTCTATAATTCACAAGTCATGAAAACAGTGATATGTGAGCTCAGGTTCGACCACCGCTGCAAACACGCCTGGCATCATGGCCGCTCCACAACCGATAAACGTAAGACAGGCCACATATCCTGGAACATTTCATGATCATGTTTCATTGGCCCCATTGGTAACACAGAATTTGTCCTGTCAGGGAGGTACTGCTACATACTAGGGAAGTCGTTAAGGGTCTGTTTTCCATGGTAGAGCATCATTTACAAGCCAGGCTTTGAGTCACAAGATTCATATACATGAGTAGACAAATGGTGTTGGGTTTTCAATGACTAAGTGATAGTAACACGGCACTTTCTGCTTCTATGGCCATCACATACCTCAGTGTGTATTTGTTATTAGTCAATACAGATTCAGATAAATGTGGTTCTGTTACATTTAGTTTATCTTTCTTCCATAATTATGCAAATAGCTCTTTCCAGTTTTCCTAGAGCTCTCACAGTTAAGTTTGCTAATTCAAGACAAATTTTCAGGAAGGAAAAAGTAATGCATGTATTTCCTTGTGGAGTCCCCTTTATCAATGATAGCAGGCATCATATTTCTATACACTAGAGTAAATAACAATTATATTCTTCCCTGTTCCACTTTAAACATTTTCCTTTCAAAATTAAAGAACAATACATATTTTAAGCAATTATCGACATTGTTTTGAGGCCAAATATTTTATTTTTCACACTTCTATTGCCTTCATATATTTTGCACTGGTAGGAGAAGAAAGAAAGCTAAATTAATCGGCCATCACTACTACTAGACTGCACACAGCTATAATCTGGATATCAAGCAACTGACCTCTGTGACAGTAACTCTACACCCCGCTCATGTACACATTCAGCATGATGTGCAAGTCAGTTTGTGGTGTCACAACATGGATCAAATGTCTGGATCCTGAGAACGTACAACTAATTATATCTTGGACAATAACCTTAAGCTGAGCCTATAATCACACCTTTACTGTATACAGTAACTATAGACTGTGACATTCTGAAGGTTTTGAGCCCACCTTAAATCTAAGTGTCTCTTCAGCTATGTGCACACTAGAGTAATATTATTTCTTAATCGTTTGGCTTTAGTGCAATTTGGTTATCGTAATTAGCAGAACATCTTGGCTTGATGAATAACATCAACAAATTTGAGTGAGTGAGTGAGTGAATTTAGTTTTACGCCGCACTCAGCAATATTCCAGCTATATGGCGGCGGTCTGTAAATACTCGAGTCTGGACCAGACAATCCAGTGATCAACAGTATGAGTATTGACCTGCGCAATTGGGAACCGATGACATGTGTCAACCAAGCCAGTGAGCCTGACCCCCCGATCCTGTTAGTCGCCTCTTACGACAAGCATGGGTTACTGAAGGTTCATTCTAACCCGGACCTTCACGGGTTCCACAAATTTGAATCATAAAAGATATATATTATACAAGATACATAAGATTCTACCAATGATATGACTAACTCACAGCTTCCAAGATTCAGGTCTATTGCACATTTCATGGTAGAACTTGACAGTCTATTTTAAACAAGGATGTAACCAAATTTGATGTATTTCAGCCATTCAAGAAGGTGCACAGACCGTACTCTGCCAATTTATAACATTTTTTGCAAACACCTGAACCATGTCAACAACAAGGGGTCCCCATATCATACCTTTGAATGAGATCCCTGGCTTCCTCAGAGATAGGCACTTCTGGCGGGAAGATGAGTGTTTCTCGCCAGTTCATCACCTTCCTGTATGTCTCCTGGGGGTTCTCCTGAACAAAATGGCGGGTAACCTGCAAGGTCAAGGACATTCTAGGTTCAACACAGAGTTGGTGAGTAGGTGTTGTATGGCTATAAGCAACTCAGTGCTGGAAAACAAGAAATGATATCGGTATTACTTGTATCATGTATGTCAGTGGCTACACCATTTGCCTCACAAGTCAATACATTGCTCGTAACAAGGATTATCCATGGTGCCCACCCATTCCCAGCGTCAGTCTTGATAATATATAAAAAGCACAATAATAACACACTTGTACTTTTGAGTGCCTTGTATGTGATATGAGGGTATTTGAGATGAAGAAGGGACTAAAATCTCAAACATATTCAAAGTTAAAGTCAATTCAAATTTCAATTCTGTTTGAGATTTTTGTTCTTTATTCAACTTCTGGCACATGTTAGGTTTCGTTTCTCAAGAGAAACATGCAGCAGTTTGATTTGGATCCCATACACAGAGTTTTGTGGAGGCAAATGGCATTTTGATGGTTTTAAAAACTTTTGACAGGCATATTTTTTACCAGGACATTTTGAGTTCAAATGATTACAATCTGTCATTGTCCTAGAACACAATTATTTGATCAAAAACCCATTCAAAGTGAAAGATATCATAGCTGTCCTACGATGTCCTTCATGAAAACTAGTTTGTTGTGTACACAAAAGTTAACGTCACAGACCTTATCTAAATCATCACAATATATATCAACCAGCACTGAATCTATAGGTTACTTTCTTCCTCTGAGTACACAGGACAGTTAGCAGCTCCTGTGCAGATCCAAGTGACATAGTCAACACTGCTTTATCCCTCTTCCTCAACAGGTCATGACAGTTTGCTAACATCAGCAGGCAGCTTACATTAACCCTCACTTCACTTCCTCATCAGATCCCCAACAAAACGTGACCTCTGACATTAAGCCTTGACCTCCCAGTCTCCCTAACCTCATAACTACCAACACTGGCAGTATGTTTATAATCTCCTCTCTCTGACCTCCGACCTTTTCTTGTCATAAAGGCCAAACAATGGAGCATCTGATCTTTCCAAAGAAGAGTCTTTCAGATTTAATACAAATGTCAGTTTTTCCTCTGTTGACGCCCAAACAGCAGCCACACCCATGTCAAAGGAAGAAAGCAGCCATGGTTTCAAAGTCCAGTCATACTTCATTCAATATTTGCTTTGTTAAGAAATACAGTGGAGTCACGGTCACTTCATTACTCAAGGCTTAGCTCAATACTCTATAACTTCCTCAGGAAAAAGACTCCTGCTTCAGGTTTTGACAAACATCATACAGCTTTTGAAGCGTTATCCTTTTGTGTCTGTTTGCATACATAAGCTCACATTTTCTGCTTCAGGGATTGTCGTGGTGTTTTGGTTGTCCTTTTATTGGGGATAAAACACGTATACTGGGGGCTGACGCCTCAATATTTCTAAATCAATAGAATTTCAGATTTGTATGAAAGTTTCCACTCCAGCCTGGTGATAAAAAGACAGGTTTGATTTCTTGTTTACTATTGCACTCCGTAATATAAATAAATACCTCTGGACCTGACAATCCAGTGATTGAAGTCATGAACACTGATCTACACAACTGGAAAATAGTAATATGCATCAACCAAGTCAGCGATCCTGGGATGGACTCTTCATGCCATACCAGGCACCAACTGACAATGATGAACTGTTGTAACCAGCCTTAGTGTATTCTAAACCAACTGACAGTGATGAACTGTTGTAACCACCCTTAGTGTATTCTAAACCAACTGACAGTGATGAACTGTTGTAACCAGCCTTAGTGTATTCTAAACCAACTGACAGTGATGAACTGTTGTAACCAGCCTAAACCAACTGACAGTGATGAACTGTTGTAACCAGCCTTACTGTATTCTAAAACCAACTGACAGTGATGAACTGTTGTAACCAACCACCTTTAGTGTATTCTAAACCAACTGACAGTGATGAACTGTTGTAACCAGCCTTAGTGTATTCTAAACCAACTGACAGTGATGAACTGTTGTAACCAGCCTTAGTGTATTCTAAACCAACTGACAGTGATGAACTGTTGTAACCAGCCTTAGTGTATTCTAAACCAACTGACAGTGATGAACTGTTGTAACCAGCCTTAGTGTATTCTAAAACCAACTGACAGTGATGAACTGTTGTAACCAGCCTTAGTGTATTCTAAACCAACTGACAGTGATGAACTGTTGTAACCAGCCTTAGTGTATTCTAAACCAACTGACAGTGATGAACTGTTGTAACCAGCCTTAGTGTATTCTAAACCAACTGACAGTGATGAACTGTTGTAACCAGTCTTAGTGTATTCTAAACCAACTGACAGTGATGAACTGTTGTAACCAGCCTTAGTAGTCTAAACCAACTGACAGTGATGAACTGTTGTAACCAGTCTTAGTGTATTCTAAACCAACTGACAGTGATGAACTGTTGTAACCAGCCTTAGTGTATTCTAAAACCAACTGACAGTGATGAACTGTTGTGTAAACCAACCAGTGATGAACTTTGTACCAGTGTATTCTAAACCAACTGACAGTGATGAACTGTTGTAACCAGTCTTAGTGTATTCTAAACCAACTGACAGTGATGGACTGTTGTAACCACCCTAGTGTATTCTAAACCAACTGACAGTGATGAACTGTTGTAACCAGCCTTAGTGTATTCTAAACCAACTGACAGTGATGAACTGTTGTAACCACCCTTAGTGTATTCTAAACCAACTGACAGTGATGAACTGTTGTAACCAGCCTTAGTGTATTCTAAACCAACTGACAGTGATGAACTGTTGTAACCAGCCTTAGTGTATTCTAAACCAACTGACAGTGATGAACTGTTGTAACCAGCCTTAGTGTATTCTAAACCAACTGACAGTGATGAACTGTTGTAACCAGCCTTAGTGTATTCTAAACCAACTGACAGTGATGAACTGTTGTAACCAGCCTTAGTGTATTCTAAACCAACTGACAGTGATGAACTGTTGTAACCAGCCTTAGTGTATTCTAAACCAACTGACAGTGATGAACTGTTGTAACCAGCCCACAGCCTTAGTGTATTCTAAACCAACTGACAGTGATGAACTGTTGTAACCAGCCTTAGTGTATTCTGAACCAACTGACAGTGATGAACTGTTGTAACCAGCCTTAGTGTATTCTAAACCAACTGACAGTGATGAACTGTTGTAACCAGCCTTAGTGTATTCTAAACCAACTGACAGTGATGAACTGTTGTAACCAGCCTTAGTGTATTCTAAACCAACTGACAGTGATGAACTGTTGTAACCAGCCTAGTGTACTCTAAACCAACTGACAGTGATGAACTGTTGTATCCAGCCTTAGTGTATTCTAAACCAACTGCTCCTCAGCAGGAGGGCACTCAAACTTGAAACCATGGGTGGCCTACGTTGCTTTCAACTACCAGTACTGTGTTTACACTTTTTCACTGTCATAATCTGCTATTATAAAGCATTTCATGAAAACCTGTCTGGCAGGATATCTTTAGAATACATGTATGTCAATTACATATGAAAGGTGATTCATTAAAACTACACAATCACATGTGGAGATGCAGCTTTAATCCATTTTTGTACATACAGAACTTACGCCAGTTTGTCCTGATATCTTCATATTTTTTGGACAGACTGCATTCATGCCCGAATCTCTATCTCATAACACAGATATTTCCTGGAGGCAGGTCAAGGACCACAAGGCTGAGAATGTCCTCGTTAATAATGTTAAGCATTATTGTGAAGGGGGTCACGTTTGTTGTTTAATGTCAGCCTCAGTGATATTAGAGCACAATGGCAAGATTTAATTAATCAAGTCTTGACCAGACAATCCTGTGATTAATATTATCAATATGATGGCAAGACTTAAATAATCAAATCTTGACCATACAATCTTTTGATTAATATTATTAGTAAATGATGGCAAGATATAAATAATCCAGTATTGACCAGACAATACTGTGATTGATATCATTAATATATGATGGCAAGACTTAAATAATCAAGTCTTGACCAGACAATCCTGTGACTAATATGATGAGCAATTGTCCATGCAGTCAAGGTGGGGTGAAATGTAATCAACAAAGTCACTGAATGTAGCAACCAATCCATTAAGTAGCTTCTTACAACCAAACAAAATCACTTGAGGATATAACAACCATACAAGCATAGCTTGTTGAGGACATATTCTAACCCTAAATTACCACCGGGGATCCAAGTTATAACCCTAATGCTAGTCTTTAATTCAATAATTGTTTAAATGCTAATTTCTAGAAAATATAAATGAAAAGAACATGTTGTCCAACTAACAGACTGCCAATATCATGGGCTTAGCAACAGCACAGCCCTGGAGTAAGGCTACTCTCATGCCAACAGTTAAAGACCTAGCAAGGCCCTGGATTCAACTACATGTAATGCAAACCTCAGGGGAATCCCCATAATTTTGAACTGTACCCATCCTGGGTAGGAGAGCGGAATGTTGAGTGTCTTGAACCAAGAACAGGGGGTTGGGGACAGGGGATGGGGGAAGTGGGGTGGGAGAGCCCCATGGACGGCATGGACGGACAGACACTGTGGGATCTATACGTGTCTACACCTCCACCATATTTCTTATAGATGTTTAGATACCCTAATCATCGTAATTTGTTCAAGGCCATGGGACAAGTCCTACTTTCTAACCCTGCTTGGATTGAGACCACATTATCTTTTGGCCTTGTGTCAACATAGTGAAGAATGTGACCTATACTGACCTATAAGCATCTCGTACATGATGACCCCGAGAGACCACCAATCACAGGTGCTCATGTAGCCATTCTGCATAAATACTTCAGGCGCGATGTAGTCAGGCGTTCCTACTGTGGAATAGGCCTGGAAAAGAACATCACATAATGACACCTTACTGCAACATACCAGCCAAATTCAAAGCACTTAGGAATAAAGTCTTTGTTTTCGTATGAACATCTTCAAATATATTGCAATAGGCTCACAGATTGGGTGGAATCTAAACATGTCTGTAGAAACAAGTTAAGTCTCTTCAACGTCTTACCAATGTGAGCAGCATGCTGTCTTATGTCAATATAGGAATGATGACTTTGAATTATGAGTCAATATTTACTTTGAATTATTTAAGAATATTGCCACATAATCTTCTTACCAATGCCCTTCGATTTCTCTTCCAGCTTTCTGCTCTTCTTTTTGAATCCATAGGATTCCCATCTGAAACATTCAACACTGTTTAGCAGGTAGTTATTGAGAGAAGGACTTGAGACACAACATTATTATCAACACAATTAAAGCAGCACTCTGGGCAGCATTCAAAATAATCGCCGGCCCGAAACCCATCGCCGGTTGTTACTGCATCGGGCTGGCAGTTTCAAATATTTACCGGCCCTTGTGGCCTTCAGTAACTTATCTGTCATTTGTTGGTGGGTTTTTTTCAACTGGAATCTTTCCCATATTTTCTTCTTTATTAACGTTCGGGAATCATTCATGATCCATCATGTTCCGATAACTTATAGTTTCATTTCCTGGTATTTCAGCGCTTTGCGCATAGGAATGTCAGCACCAGTCTTCAACAAATAAAAACTTCTCTCTGCGCCATAGGCTTCGCTAATTGATTTTGTAGATACAGTGTGAAACTGTGTACAGTGTAGTCTATATTGTTTTGACTTTAACAAAATGGGCCTGCAGATTTCATTCAGGGCCTGTAGATTTTAAAGCCTGCTGCCCTGATGGCCAACTGGCAAAATAAAGTATTGCAAACACTGACTCTGGGTGCCACTGCTATCAAGCAGTCACAACATTACTCTTTGTAACAGCTTCACGTCTTGGCGTATGGATTATCGTGGGTTAAATATACCTGATCTGAAGAACTATCACAAGATTCTTGCTATGTTGTAAATGGAGGAAACAGTCAAAGAATCAAAACAATACACAGTTAGTCTTGATGCAAGTTGAACTCACTAAAATCCCCTGCTTTGGCTTGTGAGAGATCTTTGTAAAAGTCTGTTCGGTGCGACTTCTTCAATCCTGTACACAATCCAAAGTCTGAAAGTTTGATATGTCCCTGAAAGAAAAGACAGAAATGAAGAAGTCTTGGAACTTTCATTTCATATTGAACACAACTTTAACCTTATGTCAGCCTAAAAACTGATATGTCACAGAGAAAAAAACAACTAAACTTGCCCTACAAGCAGAGCAAATAAAGCCAGACAGCTAACATCTGTGATGTGCCTAAGAGCATGCCTAATCTCTGACTGAGAAATGTGTTGATTTTGTTTCAAACAACTAAGGTCCTCACAATCAGATAGAATGAGTGTGTGAGTTTAGTTTCTTCAAGTTGCTTTTAGCAATGTCATGCCACCATGGGATTCACACATTGTACACATATGGGGAATTGAACCTGGGTCTTTGGAGTGACAAGTGAATGCTTCAACCACTAGGCTATCCAACTATCAGATAGAACCAGCATGGAGAGAACAAGGCATGTCTTACATCGGAGGTTCATTCAGGGATGATCAGACACTACAAACATTTCTGTTGCCAACAATTTATTTCACTAAACCCACTCTATGATGATATCTTTCACACTGAAGATCAAGTCTGACATTAGGACATAAAGACAACCGAGATAGCTTGAGTTTAAATTGTGTTTTGATTCATCCAGGTGGTACATAAACACATAAGGAAACAGGTGCCCCTATGTCACACTCTAATGAACATGCCTCCAAACAGGACCACACCTAGATAATACAAGCCACTACATTGTACATCTGAATGTTCTGCTCACTGCAGTGGATATGTCTGTCAGTGTTCTGCTGCCTAGCTTGCATGTTCAAAAAGTAACCTTCTGGACCTACCCTCATGAATATTGATTGACACGAAACATACATGACCATGAAGAAGGAAGTCCATGCAAGTCCACTGAACACACTAAATGGGATATGGCTGACATTTCAGACATATAATTTAACCAACAAAGGACACATCATGCCCCTTGCACGCTTGGTTAAGTCATACCAGCTTACAATGTGTTTGTTAAGGATGTTTTCGAAGTGAGGAAACAAGTTTTCAAAACATTTACATCCTTTTACGGATTCAGATATTCATTGTTACTACAACTGAAATCTCCAAAATGTGTCCTCCCCATTACAACATTCTACACAAAAATGGACATGATATTTCAACATGTGCCTCATAAAACCTTTCACGTTTCATTGGTCTGAATAATAATGTTATGTTCGATATATTACCTTAGCATCCATTAAAAGATTATCTGGTTTAATATCTCGGTGTATAAAGCCGAGCTTGTGTATAGAATCTATAGCCAGCACAGATTCTGCGACATAGAACTGGGTCTGCTCCTCTGTCAGTGTGTCTCTCTTCATCAACAGTGTCATCATGTCACCTGCAACAACAAAGTCACCACTTCTGAGTGAGTGAGTCAGTCAGGTTTTATGCTGTTTTTAAGCATATACTGGCAAATTCACAGCAGGACAAAAAAAAGTAGGCTTAACACATTATACAAATATAGGAAATTGAACCAGGGCTTTCAGTGAATGCTTTATAACTAGATTACCTCATTGCGATACTTTCCTTCTCATGAGAGCCTACTCTAACAAGGTTTTATCTAGTCATACACAGAAACACAGCTGTGAATGGAAATTACGAACCCATGCTATCACATAAAATTATAAGTAAAGTTATTGCTTTGTAGATAAAGCTCATTCAATGCTTGCCTTACATTATAGTTAAAGTTGCATTATAGTTAAAATACAATGTTAAATATCCTCTCAATTTAGGAAGACAAGAACTTTAAGGGAGACGACAAACACACACAGCTAAGGCCAAATAAAAAAATGTTGTGGTTCCGATTACACCTCTTTGAATTTTAGGGTAGGTAGGATTTTTTTTTTGTTAAACATTTTTTTAAGAAGTAAAGTACAAACTAACAACACATTTATCAATGTGCAATTGTTTATTCAATCAAGCTTGCGGCCATCATGTCGACTTTCTCTATCAGAGTGACCGATGTCCGTCGGTGATGGGAAAAAACAAATGGTATCTGAAAGCTTATTTCATTCATACTGCCTAAAAAAGATAGGGTCGGCACCAGAATCCAAGGGTCGGTCGGGCAATCAGAACCACAACATTATTTTTTTTACGCCTAAAGCCTGGTTGTCTTGACCCCATAGATCTGGAATCATATCTATCTGGATACAGATTGCTAGACACCTCTACACGCATAGTGAGGCCACAACTTCAGACAAACAACTCATCTAGATGCAAGATTCCACTGCAGAGTACCCTGGTTTAGCAGGGTCTCGCTGTACTCATATTACTGATACTACTGACAGAGTGGTGTCCTCAGGACACTTTCCACACTAACATGATTTTTACAGCATGAGGTATGTTTTCGTATCAAGGGAACCATAAATGTTTAACTTCAAGCATGAGGACAATGACATGGACCCCTGGACTTCCATGCTCTATTTTGAATGCTGAGAACACATATTACAGTATGAATAAGCAATGTCTAAACATTGCAGGGACTGAAACCGTCCGAGTCCGGACTATTTATAATACTTACTGCAGCAGGCCATCTATTCTCACATGACATGAATGAAGGCATCCTACCCATGACGTGACATGACTATCATAGCAATCAGCAGACACCAGAGTATAGACATTCCTGTGTCTGGCAGGACTACTGGAGACATATCAGTATGATTTATACACTACCAAGCATAGCAGTGTTTGAAATATGCACAGTCCCTCTACCTGACCCAGGGATTGGGATAGAGAACTTTGACAATGGGCCATTTTCAGGATTATTAGCCATTTTCTAAATTCAGAATGAGCCACTGCCCTTGTATCAGTAGTAAACTTCAAAATCTTAAGGGTCCATTTTTTATTCTAATGTGCAAAATGGCCCATGGCCCCTGCCTTTCCCAATCCCTGCTGCCCCTATGTTAAACTTACAAGATTTAGGGGTCCCTAGATTCAAATACCACAGAACACTTCAAACAACTACGATTTCCCAATTTTTGGTCCTGTGTAGTGTAAATCTGTTGGTCCTTGCCTAACATCAAGTACAAGCAGTTTATACAAGTACTATCACCCCACCATACATTAATGATAACAGGCTTCCGGGTCCGACCTAAACAGCACAATAAATCTTATCCAAGAAAACATTAAAAGTCCACTGGACACGAAACACTAAAACACCCCAAGACATGGTCCATCACAACACTGATAAAGGCTTCTTACAGGAATGCAGAGTTTCAAATCATGTGGTATTCGGGGTCTTTGGAATTTGTTGCTTTCACATAGGATTCTGGTGACTAATTCAAATCTTTTAATATTTTAGATTAGGGTGATGACATTGACTTCCTATGAGGACTTTGGGTTAGAAAAGATGCCCAGCAAACCATGATGGCTGTAAGTTGCCTCAGGTGGCCAGGTTCAGTTACTCTGCTGCTTGCATGTCATTGTACATGGATTTGTCAGTCATAATATTATCTCTAGGCTCTCTCTGACAGTGCGCCATCATAGAGTAAATGTTAATCATTGTGGCTATTAGTAACAAACAAGGACCCCTTTCATATCTATTTTCATATCTATTTTCATCACTGTGGACACTGTTGGTCGTGTGGTCCTTGGCCTACCTCCAGGAAGGAACTCCATGATGAGATAGAGATTCAGGCCATCCTGAAAGGAGTAGTACATCTTCACCACCCACTGGTGATCAGCTTCCACGAGAATGTCCCTCTCAGCCCGGACATGTGCCACCTGCAACACAAGGTTTGCCATCAAAACAATGTCCAAGAATCATTGTTTCCTGAACAACATTACATCAAACTAGTGTTACATATCAGAAGCAATTTTACATATTACCAATAAATCACTTATCCACTGCTATTCATGCTAGCAAGCTCTTCCCAAGTCCTACCCTAGTCCTACCCTTAAGTCATACTCATTGCTAACTTGGCCTACACATTGCTAACAAGCCCAACTAATGGCTAACTAGTTCTACACATTGCTACATACTCATACAAATTGCTAACAAGTCAAACTCATTTAAAAGAAGTTGTCAATTGCTAAAGTCCTATTCATAGCTAACAAGTCACATTCATTGCTAACACGTCACATTCATTGCTAACCAGTCTCATTCATTGCTAACATGTCACATTCATTGCTAACCAGTCTCATTCATTGCTAACACGTCACATTCATTGCTAACAAGTCTCATTCATTGCTAACAACGTCACATTCATTGCTAACACATCTCATTCATTGCTAACACGTCACATTCATTGCTAACAAGTCTCATTCAATTGCTAACACGTCACATTCATTGCTAACAAGTCTCATTCATTGCTAACACGTCACATTCATTGCTAACAAGTCTCATTCATTGCTAACAAGTCTCATTCATTGCTAACACGTCACATTCCTTGCTAACAAGTCCCATTCATTGCTAACAATTCCTACCCATTACTAAATCCCACAACATGAGGAAATAATGCAAACAGGTTATTTCAAAATATTTCAGCGTTGATATATACCCAGTTTCGTCACGGTACACATTATACACTTTTCCCCCAATTCCCTGTCTGTATGATGTCAAGACTTGTCAGAATCTCCGTACCTGGTCTTTCTCCAACATATCTATCTTGCGAAGAATCTTCATTGCATAGACATGACCAGTGTCCTTCTTCTGAACCAAGCGTACCTGAAACAGGGACAAAGGCATTTATTACACTGAATAGTGCACTCCAGGAATAACACATCAGTCTCTAGAAGTCTCTAAAACATAGGTGCTTCTCATAACCTATACTGTATTTCAGAACTGGAGAGGAATGTGGGTTTTGCTAATACAGTGGAACCGTGCTTATCTGGGCCTAGATTTTCGAAGCTCTCTTAGCGCTAAGATTGTCGTAAGTGACATACATTAACATTAACCTACAACTATCTTAGCGCTAAGAGAGCTTCGAAAATCTAGGCCCAGGACCACAAAAAAATTTACATGTACAGCAGACTAGTTGGATTTTACCAATGATGTCCACACCTGGTGTTTTTGTTCCAAATTTTATTGACCATTTAAAGGCAGCACTAAACAACATTAATTGGACTGGCAATGTCGCTTCACACATGGAACTATGTTCAACATCAAGATCTAGCGTGGAAGCAGGTCAACAAGCATTGTCTCTCTTTAAGTTCAAATTGTTTCCATAATGCCACCCAATCTTCACAGATGCCATGAAGACGTTATCATCTTCTTCAAAGTGGCAGCAATCTACTTCAAGACCATCATCCTAAGTGTATTATTCCCTGAATGCCCCGTGTGTATTGTTCTGTTCCTGTTGTCTGGCCACTTCAAGCCTATCATGCATCCAACTGCTGCCCCAGACCACATGTAAACATGTGAGCAAGTGTTCCCCCTATTAGTATCTAGTCAGCTGGTCAAGTCATCAGTAACACTTGGCCACCTCGCACACACAAACTGACCACAGTGTTTAGTCTGATCCTGGGGGAGCATTAGTTCCAAGAGGCTGGAGGCTTCCCACTATCATGTTAACCCTTGCTGTAATGTTGATGTGTTGTCTCACTTACAGACCCTGCAGCTTATTATTCTACAAAACAATCACCATTATTCCATTCTCAGCTCTAACAGCCCATACACATTCCCCTTTGAGCTCTAATTTAAGAGGCTTCAGTGTTCCTTAATTCTCTTCTATAGAATCATCCTATGCTGTCTGTGACTTAAGCCACAAGGATGAAGCCAGCCAGAGTTTAGTAAAACTCTGTTTAGTCTAATAGTGAGTGAGTGAGTTTGGTTTTACGCCGCTTTTAGCAATATTCCAGCAATATCACAGCGGGGGACACCAGAAATGAGCTTCACACAATGTACCCATGTGGGGATTCGAACCCGGGTCTTCGGCGTGATGGGCCAACGCTTTAACCACTAGGCTACCCCACCGCCCCTAGTCTAATAGTAATAAGTTCTGCTGATAGTAGTCCAGAGAATAACACCAAAGTCTACTAACAATGATATGAAGAGCCCAAATTGGACAAGAAGACTAAGAAGTCTTTCTAACCAACTCTTTGTGTAAACTTAAATAAATATATTTAAAACTATATATTACTCTTCACTGCACGATTCCCTGATTCCATTCAAAGGAGTAGCTTCCTGGGCCCTGTTTCACAAAGCTCTCATAAGCCGAAGATCTCGTAACTTTTCTTGTAGCATTTGTACCTCCTATACTGTAACACTGACTTAAGATAGTTGTAGTGCTACGAGAGCTTTGTGAAACGGGGCCCAGGTCACTCCAGAGGTAAAATCTTCCACCATTAATACTGACATTATGAGAGATTACAATTCAGTAATGTTTAAAGAATATAAAAATGAAAACATTTCAATTAATTAAAAGTGTCAACAACAAAAAATAAACTGCTTCTAAGGATTCAACTAAAAGTTAACTAGTATGTGCATATTTAGAAGACTGACTGACTGACTGACTGAGTTTGGTTTTACGCCGCTTTTAGCAATATTCCAGCAACATCACGGCGGGGGACACCAGAAATGGGCTTCACACATTGTACCCATGGGGGGATTCGAACCCGGGTCTTCGGCTTGATGAGCCAACGCTTTAACCATTAGGCTACCCCACCGCCCGCATATTTAGAAGAGAAATATTGAGCGGAATCACAGCAAGGGTTAACCGAAGTCCCCCTCCCCCTGTAAGCATCCTGTACAGTTCTTTATCCCTGGCTTCCTCAGATCCCACGGATGATTAACAAGGCTTGTTATAGCTGACCCCAGGTTAACACAGGCGGAGCTACAACCACCAGAGGTGGCTGAACTCTGTTTGTATCTTATCCATTATAAAACCATAAATTATGGATAATCCTACTGACAGCATCCACTATAAACACATAAAGCCATAAAAGTGATGCTGGTTGATTACCCCTCTTGTGGTTTCCCCTGGACTGTAGTCACATACACTGGACACTGAAGTGCCCACATAACAATATAATATCCGGGAAGGTCAACTGATTTACAGCAACTTATCCCATATATCACACTGCGACTTCAACCTATCTGCCTCATGTAAATCTCAGCAACATGTTGCGGGAGAAAAATATGTCTGTATTCCACCAAAGATGCGGCTATTATGAGCTATACCATGGCAGCTGGTACAAATAGTCTATAGCATGTATAACCAGTCTATAGCTTAAATAACAAGACGATAGTTTGAATAACTAGTCTCTAGCATTAAAACCAATCTACAGCCTGTATAACTAGTCTCTACCTTTATAACCATTCTATAGCATGTATAACCAGTCTATAGCTTGAATAACTAGACTATAGTTTGAATAACTAGTCTCTACCTTTAAAACCTGTCTACAGCCTGTATAACTTAATCTCTAGTGTCATAACTAGTCCATAGCTTGTATAACTAGTCCATAGCTAGTATAACCAGCCTATAGGTTCTATAACTAGTCGCTAGCTTAATAACCAGTCTGTAGCGTGTATAACAAGCCTATAGTTTCTATAACTAGTTGCTAGCTTAATAACCAGTCTATATCACGTACAACTAGTCTCTGGCAAACCAGTGGTTAATGGTTTGACCGACAATCTACGCTATCAAAACATGAAGATAAACCGAAACACAAAAACATTTGTTTCTATGATGCCACACTCAGCAATATCCCTTCTGTATCGGACAATCTGGTGATTGATCTTATGAGTAACGATTCACAGTAATGGTACAATGACACACACTCAACCAAGTTAGAGTGAATGAGTATAGTTTTACGCCGCACTCAGCCATATGTCAGCTATATAGCGACAGTCTGTAAATAATCGAGTCTGGACCAGTCAATCCAGTGATCAACAGCATGAGCATCGATCTGCGCAATTGGGAAACAATGACATTTGTTAACCAAGTCAGCGAGCCTGACCACCCGATCCCGTTAGTCGCCTCTTCGACAAGCATGGGTTACTGAAGATCAATATTCTAACCCGGACCTTCACGGGTAGCCAAGTCAGACAGTCTATACAACCCAATCCTTTAAGTGACCCCATATGGCCAGCCTGGGCTTGTGAAAGTTCCATGAAGGAATCGCCAATTCCATTCAAACCACTTCCCTGATCAATCAATATCTGCAACAAAAGAAAGCCATAACTCTAGTCTGCATATTTCCTATTGTCTTGACAACAGTTTGCCATGACTGATGCATTGAAACCACTGACTTCCCGTCACACCAGAACCATTGCCTGGCATGATCTCAACACAGTTTTCTTCCTATTTTGTTAATGAATACTACTGGTGGCTTTTATCAAGTAGCAGGTGCTTGTGATAGGCTGGTGTAGTTGCCATAGCAACAGTATACACTAATGACAGCATTACATCATCAGCTTCCTGCATCCAGCAGAGAAGTTCCAAGCCTCATTACAACCAGCTCACCCGGAAGCATGAAGCAGGTTAATGTAGATAACGAGGTTAAATTATTCATGAAATGGTGACCATCAGGCAATTCTGTCAAGAATGGGCTGTTCACAAAGTAATACATTACGTCTTTGTTGTTTTGAGGTGAACTACATTTGATTGAGATGTGGAAGATGTAATTACTGAAGAGGGTGCATTTTATGAAATGTCATCTGCCATTTGATAGATCCACCAGGCAGTAAACCAGAGCTTGATACGGATCAATATGTTAACTACAGGAGCAGCAGAACAATCAGCATGGCAACAACAAGGGGGGTTCCAGGTCGATGACTGGATTGAATCTTCAGACCATCACATTACTTAAGACCACATCACCCCTATCAACATCATTATCATCACACTCTTTATCTCATTATGGCAACCACCAATATAATTACCGTCATCATCATAGTCATCGTCATCATCATCATCTCATTATGACAACCACCAATATAATTACCGTCGTCATCATCATCGTCGTCGTCATCATCATCTCATTATGACAACCACCAGTATCATTATTATCTCATTATGACAACCACCAGTATCATTATTATCTAATTATGACAACCACCAGTAACGTTATTATCTCATTATGACAACCACCAGTATCATTATTATCTAATTATGACAACCACCAGTAACGTTATTATCTCATTATGACAACCACCAGTATCATTATTATCTAATTATGACAACCACCAGTATCATTATCATCTCATTATGACAACCACCAGTATCATTATTATCTCATCAACCTCCATTCATTATTATATCATTATGACAACCACCAGTATCATTATTATCTCATTATTATCTCATTATGACAACCACCAGTATCATTATTATCTAATTATGATGACAACCACCAGTACCAGTATCATTATCATCTCATTATGACAACCACCAGTATCATTATTATCTCATTATGACAACCACCAGTATCATTATTATCTCATTATGACAACCACCAGTATCATTATTATCTCATTATGACAACCACCAGTATCATTATTATCTCATTATGACAACCTCCAGTATCATTATTATCTCATTATGACAAACACCAATGTCATCATCATCTCATTATGACAACCACCAGTATCATCAATACTACCATCGTCATCAACTCATTAGTCTAAGCCATAAGTTAATTTTGCCCTATGATTGTAGGTTTGAATCCCAGATTTGCTGATTATGATCCTTGATCTTTCAAATGTCTATAACTAATTACTACGTG